TAAGAATGCTACTAGTAGTGATGCCAGGAGGCCCTAGTAGCGTCCTTGCTCCTAGTACCGATGCCCTTTGCACCTACTAGCTTCTTGTTACTGTTGGTGCTGAAAGTTGGCAACATTCGTTGATTCTATGGGCCATGCATGCCCATGCATGAATCACTACCGTCCCGGTGGGTTCCTGAAATTATTATCATTACTTTTTAAAGAACAATTACCTAGGAAACTATGCGCGGTTTCACAGAATGGTAAATGGACTAACACCCGGGTGCTGCCGACCCCTATTGTAGGACGCCATGCACCATCTCAAACAGCGCCTGCTTCTTTCTTCTCACATGCCAATTTTCCCTGTCACTGTCATTCCCACTTCCAAGATATACACAAGACAGAGGTTACATCCGAAGACTGCCATTCTGTGGCCACAGGTGGTCGTAGCAGAAGAACGTGGTCTTGCTTCAAAGGCTAGGGATACACACGTCTCACACCCGATCAGTTTAGCGTGCATCAAACAAATATCTTTTCCATTAACTGAACCATGCCAGGAATAATTTTCTATATTGAGGTGGAAGCTACGCAGTATAATACAACATATTCCAGGGATTTTCAGGGGCATAGGCCATGATATTCTAAGCTGGTCGTATTTGCAGACCAGTTGTCTCATCTCCTTGTCCTTTCCAAGTCATGCTTTGATTGATCATGTTGAGTGGTATTAGAACTGTCATGGACCTTAGCCTTACATAGTCTTTTGCAGCTTTGTAACTTTGGCCACCGGTTGCGCCTGCTGAGGAAATCAGATCTCTTGCGAAGCCATCCTTGGTTTCCAGACCGCAGATCGGGCTCAGGTTGACAACGGCCAAAAAGGCATCCGCCGATATTCTCCTAGTAGTTTCTTGTTCCTAGTAGTAAGAATGCTACTAGTAGTGATGCCAGGAGCCCTAGTAGCGTCCTTGCTCCTAGTAGCGATGCCCTTTGCTCCTAGTAGCGATGCCCTTTGTCTAAAGGCTTGGTTTTAGACTCTTAGACATTTAGAAGAAACACGTCGCTGGTCCTGGACACACGACGGTCATTATTGGCACGTGACGACGGTCACCTGTCGTGTTGATCAAACGAGGCTTCGGTGTCGGCTCGGTGCTTTCTCCTCCCGAGGCTTCAGGAGCTGCAACGCGCCGCTCAAAGCGGCTCGCTGCCGAGCTCGCCCGTGGGCCACGGGGCGTTTCTGCGGTCGCCGCAGGCGCGGCTCGAGTCGATTTTTGAGTTGTACGCCTGGAGTCCTTGGGTTCTACATCACTTGGCAGATGAAATTAACATGTGCCATGGCCTCGCCACACATGTCCTTTCTACCTTGTGTTGATGTTTTTAAGAAGCTTTGTTCTTTTTATGGACGAGAGAAACTGTGAGACAATGTGACAAACTCACGGGCGTGCATGGCCAGTTGGATGTTCATGAACAAAAATACGGGTCTCTTTGTCATTCTTTGTTGATTATATAATTGGATGGCCCTGGGAAAACCGGTGCCGACAATCCTGGTGGACTTGGAGAGGCCTCGTCTGCACCCAACCTGCCTCCACTGGAGAACCTGCAGCTTCAGCTTCATGATGGACACAAGATGGAGGCTAAATCTGATCATAACTCGCGCGCGCTATGGTCGTGACACTCCGTTCTGTTCCCCGATTGAACAAGCAGTACCGAGGGTTTCTTTTAGAGGCCGCAAAATTGGGTCTCAAGACTTGTGAAGGCGTCAAACATTCCAGTTTGGGCCTGATGTGGAATGTAAACTTATAGGTCGTCCTAAGCAGCTTGATATGAATCCACTTGAAGCTTTCCTTTGCGGTATTGTGCAGGTGGATGCATATGCAACACCACGACAGCCGTCCCACAATTCCAAAGACATCCTCAGCACACCCTTCACACGAAAGCAGACCTGGAACAGCAAGGACGGTTGAGTTGAAAGATGTTGAAAGCGATGCCTTTGTTGCGAGCAGCAATTTGATGAGTGCTGACGAAGGAACCGCTTGAGTGTTGAGCTAGATCATGTTAGATCCAAGAGAACGAAACATGCCATACTGCTGGCAGGATGAGATGGAGCTTTTGAATGCAGGCGCTGGAGAAGAGCACAAGACTGGGATCCTCGCCCTCTTGGCGAAACAGTTTTGGCGGCAAAATCCCGAAGCCATTTTTGATCCATTTAGTCACTTTAGTCTAGACTCTAGTGGACTCCAAGCCTTGTCTAAAGCTTCTGAGTCTTTCTAGCCTCTGCCAGCCTCACCAAGGATCCTCCCACCTAGCATTCGAAAGTTGGATTATTGGCGCGCCATCGAGTTGTTTCACCTTTTTGACCGAAGGACCGGAATCTGTTTGAGCGGAGAAGGTTGATTGAAATATGTAAAAAGTATAGAAATAAGAGATACACATTTCTTATTGAGGAGATTGCATAGAAACAAATCATAAGACTTGAGGTGTCAGTCATGGTGTGAAAAACAATCTTGTCATCCGCGAATGCGTGGTGGCTTCGCAGATTTTGTGCCACAGGACTGGGGAGCTGGATAAACTGGGTTTTTATCATCTGCTCACGGCAGCCTCCAGAGACAAGGACGGAAGAAGTTTTCCTTGGCGAAATCTGAACAGCACACCAATGGATCCCCCTCGGAGGTTTCTCAGAAGATGGATTAGGATGGATTGCTGGGATCAAAGTAGTTTGTCTCTTTTTTTTGGGGGGAACTATAGTATAGTGAACGTGGACGTTTGGCAGAGACTGTCGAACGGATGGAGCCTTTGTCATCTCCTACCCGGGGATGCTCCAAGACCTGATGGTCCTCCGCTCGACGGTGGTTCTTCGTCTTGTCCTTCCGTTTTTGCAGGAGGAGATCCCGCGAGTGCAGAGCGACAACATTTTCAATGAGATCGACATGGACGGCAGTGGAAACATCGACAAAGAAGAGTTTCTCGGGTGGGTCTTCCAGACAAACAGCAGCTTCCTGAGCTCCGTGCGGCGGAAGTTGGAAGTCATGCCAGAGGCCAAGGTGAAAGCTCTCTTCGAACAAATGGACAAGGATGAGAATGGTTGTATTGACAAAGAGGACTGGGAATTCTGCAGTTGGCGAGGTGAAAAACAAAGCTTTTGTTGTTGTTCCTTTTAGCGGTGGAACATAGTTGAAGACGGAGAAAGGACATGGTGACAATGTTTGGGACTTGAAACCTACTAGCACAGATGAGTGCAATCAAGCAATGTAAAGCTCCGGCAAGAGTGTTTCAATCTCGCTTGAACTCACGAAAGGAGTCAGACTAGTTGGAGGCAAAAAAAGATCTCGGAAGCTTCCAGAGCCAGGAGTTCTGGAATTTTGTGGAGAAGTTCAGTCCTGGCATGCTGTCCCGTCAAGCCTCGGATGAGCTGCACGAATTCATTGATGCAGATCGATCAGGTGGTATTGAGCCATGGCATGCCATGGCACTGAACGTGGTAGGACCTGGTAGGACATCAGGTTTTCAATGGTTTTCATTGTGACCCTCGACCGTTGTGCCGGCATTTTCATACCAAGGATGGTGAGGAATTCCTCAATTGGATTCATCCTGGCCGTGAATTGCACCTGTTGAAGGCAGAGGCTGGGCAGCTTTTGGATTTTCCTCATTGTGGGACCCGGCACCATCTGAAGTTTTACGGGCTTCTGTAATGAGTTTGTCTCAAAAAAAGTGTGTATGTCCGTCCAATCAATGGGCTTTAGTTTTCTCCAACCGATGGCAACACACCCAGCTGGGTCGGATCAGGTCGTCGCAGGCATCCGATGTTCGTGGCACATCCGGGTTTCCTCACGGTGGATGTTCCTTTCGGCCACGAAAGTGGACATCCGGGAACTAGTATGTTACTAGTAGTAGTGGCCTCCAACCTAGTAGCTTCTTGTTCTTACTGTATATAATATAAATATATTTATATGTATACATGCTGATATACTCCATATAACTTAACTATGTAACCGTATGAGTCGCTTTCAAAATAAGTTCCAAGGCTTTGACTCTGAACAAAAGAACGGATCCCCCGATGGTGCCAACCCTGCAAAACAATACTTGCAGTGTCCAGGTGTGAAACGCTGTAAAACGACACGGAACTTCCCAGAACGTCCTAACTTTGAATGAAGAGTATTGATTACACCCCAAACAAATCATGTTGGAACATAGATTTTGTTTGATTTCATATGATTTGCATCTATTGGGATCGATTCATCCATCTCGGTTTAACAGGTGAGCGATGAGCTCACTGGCAAAGTGGCGGCTGGGATCATCAATGGAACCTACACTGCTCCGAAGAAACCTCTCATGGAGACCGTGACATGGCCGGAAGGTGCTCTACAAGAGTACCAGGGTATGCGGTATAATATACTGTCGTAATCTCTTAGGATTTGGTTCTTTTTGTCTTTTCATACTTTCCAACCCCAAGGGATTTGAGCAAGAATCAGGAGTTTGACCAGAATCACTGCCTTTTACAGAGTCTATGTCAATTCACCGTGACTTCACACGTGTGGACGTCCAGATCCAACCTCAGGAGCCAGGGAAGCCAGTGGTTTTGCAGTTCTGGATCGGTGATGAATGGATCTCAAACTTCAAAGCATTGAAGCGCAGCCTTCGGGCCGTCGCTGGGCGCGAAGGTGTCGTCGACAGGTGTCGACTGCCCCAGAGGAGGAGTACTTGCACTGTAGTTACTACTCCGATGTTTTTTTGGCACGAAACAGGGAGCCCCGAACCCCCGAACAGGCTGAGGTGTACTTGAAGATAGTTGACAGAAGGTGGGTGTAAGGAACCCAGTTTTGAACGGCTGATGAGGGCGAACGACTTTGAGTTGTTGAACATGGTTTTCAGGGACATCAAATCATGACATCACTCACACGGTCCTGAGGTCTTTAGCTCTCAGCAGATCCAGTTCGATCTTCAGCGGGACAGTCGGGTGATGAACACCTGCTCCAAGTTGGTGGCCAAGGTGGGCCGCGGCATCATCCTCTGGGATCGTGACAGAATGTTAGCCTTCAAGGATGATCCCTTTATGAACCAGGCCCTTGGCTCGGGGCAGCGGGGCAGAGCGAAGGAAGGAGCCGAGCGGAGCGGGTGTGATGATGGTAGGTGACGATGGTACAGGTATGATACAGGAGGTCACGGGGATGGAGCAAGGGAAGATTTGGGCCCACTAGTAGAATCGTTTTGCCTTTGAGGAACATTTGGCTTGTGATCTCACATTTTGATGTGCAACAGTTTATTTATGCACGCACATTTTGATAGAATGAATTACTGGATTACTGGATCAGAATTGACGGTCATTCTTCGTTCACCCACGGTCGCTCTGGCCAGATCACCGCTCAAAACTGGATCAAAGATGTGCTGCTTCAATGCCTTCCAGATGTCATCAACGCTGCTAATGTCCGATTGCTCAAGAGAAAGAAGCAGAATGTTTGCTTTGAATGTGGCAGAACCCTTGAGGGAGCTCGCTATATGCTGGTTTTGGAATACAAGGCTGGTGGAAGAGTTCTTTGCTTGTTTGTCAAAGCAAGAGTACATGCTCCATGAACCAAACCACTCAAAACATTCCCGGCTGACCCTACCCGTTGCCTGTTCCTCTTGATGGATGCACTTCGTCACCCTACAAGCCCGCAGAAGCTTTTTGAGTCATATTTGATAGTCACAGTGCAAAGAATCACGATCGTGCACAAATGCATGCTGTTTAACTATTAGAGATCTAAGGGACTAACTTATATACGTTGCTTGTTGATTCAGTGTCGCATTCTCAAGCATTAAACCCATTCAGCAGCTTGCTGGATGTTGCATCACCCACCCTGAGGTTTGCAGTAAACATTGCTCCACGTTGCTGAAAGCACGTGCTGTACCCTAAAACTGTAGAGGAGTATGATAAATCTCCGTTCTTCCTGCTAAACGCAGTCAAACCACCTAGTTGGATCAAATATAAGGAATAGCCTCAGAAGTAATAGTCAGTCCTCTTCTTCATGGATGGTTTGCAGACAGATAGGGCCGAGGAAGATAGATGAAGCTTGTCTGCTGGCATACCAAATGGTATGGCCATGACACCAGTCAAGTATTCTAATCAGACCTATAGCTGCATGGTGTGTTAAAAAGAGGCCCACGTGCACAAGCGGGAGATCTGTTTTGATGCCTGCACCGTTCAATCAACACACCGTTGTACACCAAAAGCGTTTGGAGAATCAAAAGGTTCTGACAATTTCTCCACCAAAACTTTGGGCCCATGCCCAGACACTTCACCTTCTGCCAAGGACACATCCAGGCTTTCAAGAGGTTGGAACTCTTTCACCGCTCGACATTGAGTGACGTGAACCTGAACCGTTCGCTGCTGCATACCTTTTGAATTAATCCGGTGATTTCCCACCTGAGTTTTGAGGCGATGGGCGCCGACCCTCCCAAGAGCTCATTGATTTTGCCCCTTGGAAGGAGCAAATTTGGATATTTTACTTCTGGAATACTTGGGACAGATAGAAAAGTATCGCTGTGTGTATACTGCATAAGTATATATATATTATAGACATAGTAGATATATAAGTATTTTGTCTGTGGTGCCCCCTCCACGAGACCTCAAAACTAGGAAAAGGTCTTCTGTCTACACATAAAGAGATACTTATGTCAAGGCACTCAAAATAGAAAAATCATTAAAGGAAGCAGACGTGAGTGTAACCAATCAAGCCAAGATAAGCAGAAAGAAAACAATTATCGAAAAGGAGGGGTAGCACACTGCATCAGTTTTTGAATAGAACAGTTTAAAGATTTCCACTGATGTCACTTTTTGTCATGACACCTTTTCACGATCGCAGAGCGCTCTTGAGCTGGTTCAAAAGTCCGTCCTACCGACTTTGGTAGCGGAGCCCCGGCCGTCCGGGGCTCCTGCTTTCGCCATTGGCCGCCTGGCGCCTTCGGCGCCGCCCGGCGCGATCCCGGGCCCGCTGCGCTGCCCGCGCTGCTTCGCTCTCGTCGCCGCCACGACGACGATCCTTTTTTGCTGTCTCACAAATTTGGCCATTTTGGTCCTGTGCATTTGTTCTTCGGCTCCGAGGGCACCTGTGAAAGCAGCCAATTTTGCGCCCGTGAAAGCTCCCGAGTACACGACCCTGGAGGTGACTGACCTGCACTCCATCTTCCTGAATCAGACGCTGACCATTGACATCTCCCTGAATTTGCAGGACTACCCGATTCAGGACACCTTCACGTACCGGGACTTTGCCCGTGATCTGTTCACGATGGCCCAGCCGCTCCTTGGCATACCTTTGGCTGAGTTTCGTCGCGACGTACCACCTGGTTGGGCTCCGAACCTTCCCGACTACAGCCTGAAGTCTTATTTCGACAAACTCCGCCTTTGGTATAGACTCTACCAAGGCCCTGACGAACAAGTAGGTCCTCTACTTGCAGGACGTCTCCAAGGACGAGCCCAGAAGATTGCCATGGGTCTCAAACTGGTTCGCCCTGACGGAACCTACGATGTGGGAGACAGTGCTCTCGTTCGGCTAACCACGGACGAAGTTCGAGACCCCATGGACCCGAACGTCATCCTGCAGCACGCAATCCCAAGTGGAGTTCAAGCTCTCGCGAACGCCCTCCGTGAGACCTTCGGTCAGTCTGACCAGGAGTTGGCCACCCACAGTTTGGAGCAATTTTTCCTCTTCAAAAGAGGTAAACTTTCGATGCACGAATATGCATCAGAATGGGAGCTTCGCTATGAGTCTGCTCAGCGCCACTCAGGCTTGGAGATCAACGACGTCGCCAAGAGCTTCCTATTTTTCCAAAGTTCTGGATTGCCCAACAAGTTCATTGAGGATGTCAAGATCCAGATCCAAGGCGACATGTCTCGTTTTGAGGAAGCCAAGCGCCTGACCTTGCGCCTGAGCAATCGGAGTGACCAGCATGTTCTGTCCCAGGACCTGTATACTGATCAAGGGAAAGGGTCTCGGTTGTGACGCGTGTTTTTGTCTCGAATGTGACGCGGAGAGCTTTTCTCAGTTGTGACGCGGAGAGCTTTTCTTTTAGAGAATCTGTGTGCTTCTGGGCCCTTGCTGGGTTCTCATAAAGTCATAAAGCTCCAATCCAGCTCCACACCAATTCCACCAAATGCCACTCTAAACTCTGAAGCCCAACAACCTAATGTCCCACCCCACCCCTAAACCCCCCCCACCCAACCTAATGCCCCACCCCACCCCACCCCCCCACCCAACCTAATGCCCCACCCCAACCTAATGTCCCACCCAACCTAATGCTTGCAATCATATGTGTGTATGTGTCTGTGTCGCGAATGAGAGAGATTTGGTGTCGTACATGAGAGGAATACAGGGGGGTGGTGGTGTCGCAAATGAGTCAGATTTGGTGTCGCAAATGAGTCCCTTGCCCTGATCAGGCCTCTGAGTTCTTCTCCACTCCATCCTCGTCATGGAACACCATGGACTACGACACCTACTATGACGATTGGTCATGGCAAGATGACCCTTGGCAAGCCTATCCAGAAGATCCCTGGACTGGCTATGCAGAGGATGAATGGTGGCAAGAAGATGATTCCTGGTCGCCTACGGCATCAGAATGGCACACCCCTGAGGAGTATGTCATCCATGACGACCAGCATGAGACAGAGCAAGCTGCTGAAGCCCCTGAGACCTACTATGAGGACGAGGACTACTACCAGCAGAAGAGTGGCTGTCATGTTTGTGGCAGTCGATGGCACCTGGCCGCACAATGTCCCGTCAGAGACAAAGGAAGAGGCGGCTATGGAGGAGGAAAATCCTCCTGGAGGCCAAAAGGCAAAGGCAAGGGCAAAGGAAAGAAGGGCAAGAGCAAAAGCAAGTCATTCAAGGGCAAAGGCAAGTTCAAAGGTGGCAACAAGGGCTACTTCAACGACATCGACTACAGTGCCCAACGAAGTCAACCTGAACAAGGACTTTCTCTGAGTCCTCCAGCCTCATCATCTTTTACCACTGAGGTGAAGCCCATCCATATGACACCACCGAGGACTGGAGAGTTGCTTCCTTGGCAAGAGAAGAAAGTGACCTTTGCCGAAGATCAAGAAGATGAAGAAGCTCCAGCTCCATCTGAGCCAGTTCGCAAGCAACTTGCTTTTGCCACCCATCTTCATGCAAGCTCTGAGGTCTACCACATGGTGAAAGGCGTTAAACGCCGTGGCTTGCTGATTGACCCTGGTGCTGCCGCAGGTTTGGTTGGCAGCGAGACCCTTCGTGACCTACTGGCCAGCTGCTACCAGGACAAGCAGAAGGCAGTGACATGGTCTGCATCAGATGCTACTATCACCGGCATCTCAGGTCAGCCAGACAAAGCTCTTGGACGAGTTCATCTGAAGCTGCCTTTCAAGAACATGGAAGCCACCTACACCGCCGATGTCATTGGCAAAGAAGGTAGCCGCTGTCCCGCTCTGGTTGGCAACCCTGCTTTGTGCGCAATGTACGCCTCACTGCACTCACGATGGTTCACCAACGATGATGGACTTCTGGTTGCCTGGGACACCTCCAAGAGCGAGCATCCGCAGATGAACCTCTTCCGAGTTCTTCTCACTGACAGTGGTCACTACCTGCTGCCTTTGGATGAAGATGCTGGCATCTGCGATCAGCAACCTGAAGCCTTTCACTTCATCAAGCACCTCTCTGACGTCTCCCATCGTGCATGGCCAGATCATGCATACACCTTCTGGCAGAACGTGACTGCCCAAGGACCGGAACGTCAGTGGAGCACTCATGGGACACAAGTTCGATCCCTTCAAGATGATCACCCGCTGACTAGTCTCATGAGTGAGCAGAACAAGAACCACGACATTGATACCTCATGTTCCACGTCACCGATCAAGGACCACGACACATCAACATTACCTATCACATCATCCACCTCAGATATCACTTCCACTGGAGGAGTTGAGGCTGCAGACAATCTCTACCAATGTGATGACGCTCATAAGGAGCATAAGTGCGAATGTTGCCAAAGTCACAACACTCCAAGATCCACGACACCTGAACAGGTCACATCATGTTCCACAACAGCCACCTCATGTTCCACAACACCTGGAGGAGTTGAGGCTGCAGACAAGGACTACCAAGAGAAGAAAGACAGTGTTGTGACATCTCAGTTGATGGCCACAAATCTGAGTGAGCTTCCACTGTACGTTGATGACTCTGTTCCACCTCACCTCTCACAAGAAGATCAGCAGAAGCTCAAGAAGGACTACAAGGCCATGCCAGAGGAGTTCTACCGCCACTCCAATCGCAGAGTTGTGACTCCAGACACCTTCCCTGCATGGTTCAAGGAGGCCAAGCGACATGGAGTCAAGTGGCAGATTTGGGAGCTCTTCTCCGGCTCTGGACGATTTTCTCTCCTGTGCACTTTGGCTGGTCTGATGGCTGGTTTTCCTGTCGACTTCCGCTATGGCTGGGACATTGGCAATCCAGCACATCAAGACATGCTTTGGAGCGCCTACACCACCTTCGAGCCTGAAGTGATCTTTGGCTCTCCTCGCTGCAAGTTCTGGAGCATAGCCGCATCGAGACGAGATCGACATCAACTTCTACAAGATCGAGAGAAGGACAGATCAGCTTTAGTATTCCTTCAACGCCTGTATGCTGAACAGGTGAAGAAGTCTCGAGGCTACCTCCTGGAACAGCCATTGTCTTCAGCTATGTGGGAAGAGAGTGTGATGGCTGAGAACAAGAAGTTCCCTGGCTGGCGAAAACATCGCCGCGCAGATCAATGTGCATTTGGAGCAGTTGATGAGCTTCGGAAGCCAGTGTTGAAAGCCACCGGCATTGAGGCGAACTTCAAGCTACGCCTCAGCCTTCGTCGATGCAATGGACACAATGGAATGCCCCATGCACCTCTACAAGGTCAACATCAAGGCAAGAATCGCACTGCTATGGCAGCTGTCTACCCGACTCGCTTCTGTAAGGCCCTCATCCAGGACATCATTCAATGGTTTCAGAAGCGCAACACTCTGCACATGCGCTTGGTTGACTCATGGACCTATCACCAAGTCCTCTACAAGTGCGAGCGTTGCAAGTTTGGCAGAGCTGCCGCAGCTGATATGGAGCATTCTTTCATTCCGGGAGAATGTCGTCATGGTCGC